AGAAATGACCCCATCATGTCAACGTAACGAAGACCGATATTGCTATGGTTACAAAATTTCCTTTCCTTTATCTATCTGACGAGCAGGCAACAGTTCGAAAAAAGTCTTCAACTGTACCTAGTAATTTTCCAGTTGTTCAGGAAGTGAGTGCTGTCAGTTTACCGTTTTACTCATTTTCACATGATTTTCGCACCGCTCATTGTGGCGCTTGCTCAAAATTTTCTGACTATGCTACCATCGCGACAGCTACAGAGATTTCCTAGGCCGCCAAACCGAGGGCCACGTATTCAGGCGAAACATTTTAGCGAAAAAAACAGTCCTCGCCCTACAGCGGCTGAACCACCATTGCGAACCAGAGTTTGGAAATTTTTTAGTATGGCAACGCGAAAAAAAGCATTAGCATCGTCCTTGAAATTGACTGCAAGAGACCTTTTATTCTGGACAGAGAAGTCGTTAGTTATGCAGTGTTCGATGAGAAGTAGTAACTGGTCAGTCGTGATCATTATAGAAGTACAGTGACTGGTTGATGGAACAGGCTCATTTGCAAGGCAGTGATCACTCGATGCTGTAACAACATCAACACCGCCAGACAATGCGAACTCTGCGCACATTGGATTAATTTCACAGTGTCTACCGGCGACCTCGTCATTACGACCAGAATGGTACTGCTCAAGCCAAGATAGTGACATTGCGTTCATCTGGCATTGAAAGTACTCAAAAACCATGAAGCTGTGGTTATCTTAAATGGCCTCCTGAGCAGATGGCTTCGACTCCGCTTAAGGAACAACGCTGTCTTAACCGCGAATCGCTTTGAGTCCGGTTTTGAAGCAATTAAATGAAAAACCTGTAGTATTTCAGTGACCTGCGAATAATAGGGACCTTGTAACCATGAGGATACATAATTAATGAAAGATAAGTAAATGAGTGCTACAAAATGCAGTGCTGCGCGAAACTACGATGAAGATCATACGAGACGCGCAATATTGCAATAACTGCTGATCAGGCTCCTTCAGAAGACACTTGAACACTTCCAAAGGCAGAATTATCTCACATTCACGTCGCTGGATGAGGCCTTTAAGAATTTGTTACAAATTTCTGTTTTCTGCCATTTTCAGTAAACTACTTCAGTTCATCCTGCAATCGATCCGGAGGTCTTCTTCAGGGCCATTTACTCCCTCTTTGATCCATGTCTAACGTTTCTTGTCCAGCGATGGCCGGTTCTTCTTACAACGTATCCTGACTATTGACAAGTTAGCCTCTTCATAGACAATGACATCACACAATCTCATTTGTAATCTTATTCATTCATTCATTTTCATATCTTTTCCTATCATTCCAACATAACATCTTTCCATGCCACGTTGCATCGACCTGCCGTTTATGAATAGCTTTCAAGCGTAGGATCTACATGTCGATCGATAGGTTAGCACTGGAAATACGCACTGATCGAATCTTTTCGGTTTCAAGAACAAGGGCAGTTCTCATCTTCAAGCTTCCAAAACTACACCATTACACTTTTATTCTTCTGTTGATTCCTATAACCATTTTTCCGTTGCGGAGTTGCACTGTCCCGACTGGACGAAGCTTCGCACTTCCTCAAGCCAAAGACCGCTGACTTGAACAGCATTTATCAAATATAGCCTGAGTCTTCGAGTTCATTTTACGTTGGCATCGTTCAACTACTAGATTCTTCTTTAAAGTTCTTCAAGTGTCCTTAAGATTATCAGAATATCATCCGCAAACCTCAGGTGGCCAAAGCAGTGCCCACTTATCTTCAGTTCTTTGTTTTCCAAACTGAGTGCTTTGTAAACCTGTTCTACAGCAGCTAACTTTTACCGTGATATTGCGTCTCTCTCGGACACTATTTTCAATTGTGAACTTGTTCGTGCTTTCGTGAAACTTCACACTAGCGCTTGCACCATTACAATCTTTCGTCATTCTGTATCTTTTGTCGATTCGTTGGCTCTTCAACCCATTCAGCTGAGAACGGATGTAGACTGGATGAATAAAATTCTCGAAATCAGCGAATCCATGCAGACAGGAAACTGATATCTGTTGCTGCTTTGAATGATCTCTTACACGACCTGAGGATTATTCATTATCATAAATCCACATCTGAATCCTGTTCATTCCTTTGGCTATGCAGCATTAAGTTTATTTGAAGCCTATCCATCAGTATCTTTGACAACAAGTTGGTCGCCTGCAGTTCTTCAAATCCTCTGCGTCCCGTTTTGTTGAGTAGAATCACCAAAGAGATAGTCCAGTCGCGTTGAGAAAAGACACGAAAGCTTACACTCGCGACTGCAAGGTCGTCAGATGAACAAACTAAGATTATGGCACATCATCATTCATTCGAGTTAAAAATGGACGCCCTGCTCTCTAAGGTTATGCAAATGAGTTCATGTGAAACAGAGGCTGGAGTTTCTTGCAGCCAATTTGCAATATAATTCTACGAATAAACCCCATTCATGTAGGCAGTTGAACTGTTTTTTGCAATGAAAATTCAGCAGTGCCCAAAACTAGCTTTCGCATACGCAGACCTTTTCAGGCAGTGCACCCATCACGTCGCTGTCCTTTAAACGGCTTTTACGGAGACAGCTGCCAAGCGTGAATGCTTTGTTAGTCGCCCCCTTCCCCCGGCCATAATTCGAATGGTTTACATGGGCAGCTGTCCTGATATGACAGAAGAACGCACGAGCTCTATACTTAATTAACTCTGGATGAATTCGATCCACCTAACAAGCTCTCTTCACCTTGACGTGTAGCAAGGTCTGTGGATTTCTGGTTTCTCGCTGGATCTGTACTAACCACTATTGTTGGCAGAGAATTAACGGCCCAAATGATGAATCTGGAAGATAGCCGTTGAGCAGCTGCTGGAGATATTCAGCCCGTCGCTCAAGGCATTTATTCTGACCTCCAAATGAGTCATCTCACCCTTAGCGTCGTGGATAAACACCGATCGTGTCCTCTCTTGTCGAATAACTGTAACACCCCTCTTAAATCGTTCGCCTTGTCGACCTTCTTGATTTCCCCCTCCAGCCACCGTTCACTGCCTATTCGTAGTTCTGGTTGACTGCATGAACGAGACGGCGATGAGTGCACGTACTCTTTGCCTAATTCCTTTGCACTCTAAAAAACTGGAGTCTTCCCGTAACCCATGATAATCTGTGCATTATTCTCCGCACCCCAATTAGTTTTCTACGAGGAAATGACGGCTTCTTTGAAGTGTTTGTAAGCTTCATAGACGCCGCCATTTCCCAACTGAGGCACTAACAGTCGCATTAATACAATTCTCTACCTCTATTTGGTAAGCGGATCGTGCTGATTCGTCATATTTTAAACTTGTCAACATTGAACAAATGATGTGTTTCTATCAGAAGCCTTGAGAAGCTGCATAAAGCACCAAGCCAGCCTTAAATCCACTCTGTCAGTGGTACGCAGAATAATTACTTTTTCTTATCAGCGGCTTTACGATACAGCTAAAGATGACCAAGCACAACCAGAAACAAGAAACCAATCAATGAAAGCTTATACCTTGAATATGTTCATCAGAAAGAGCTTACGGGCGCAGTCGATGAACATGTACCTTAATCAACAATCGAACTACTCTTGAAGCATATATGCAAAACAGTGAACTGTAGCACGATCCTTGATTGAGCTGAATTCTAAAATATGCCATGTAACAACTGCGAAGTACGAAAATAAATGTACTACTTGCCACACGCGACCAGAACTGATCGATGCTTTAAAGGCTGGTTTGTGTAACGCGCTCACCAGAGTCGGGTATACGATAGTTCTACTATTGATAATTAAGTTGATATAGAAAATGAACTGCGAATGACTAATCGGAAATCGAGAAAAACAATAAATTGATTGACGCTTGTGCCGCCTGAACAAAGCTTCTTGCGCGGACAGTTAATATTTAAACAGGTTAAAGATGGATTATTTTGCAAATTATTTTTCTGGTTATGATGCAATAATATTGGTTAAAGGTCTACTTAGCAGTTCAGAGATGCCGATTTGATATCACAGGAAGCAATGTTTTTCACAGGAAGTCTCAAGTAGACTAATTCTGTTAAGCTTTGAAATTAAAGATTTAAAATTATAGATATGCAAAACACCACGGAACCGGCTAAAATTAGGCAATTTGAAGCGTCGGCCTGCGTATCCCGAAAGGACAAGCGTAATTGAAACTGACTGATTGTTTTATAAGTATCAACTACCAGAATATTTAATTTATCTAACTTAAATTTACTTGACCGTGCCTTGCTTACCTTGGTGGCATTCTCTGCAAGATATTCCGCTTCCGTGCTTTCATACTGATCTATTTCACTTTTTCAGTGTTTGAATTCCATAGTCTATAAAACGTTTTTCTTAATAGCTGCTAATTCCCTTGAGCTAGATTTTCATCGTTCAACTTTGCCTAAACAGCCGAGAACAACTGTTGGCAGTAAGGATGGCGCATTGTATTTTTTTGTGATAACGTCAGACATGTATGATGCGCACCTAAGGATTTCAGTTCCTATGAGTATGCTTAACGTCTGACTATGGAGAATAATCAAGACAAGGTATTAACATGTTTTGCCATATGGGACGTTAGAAGGGTACATAATATCTACTTGTAAATTGTCCTGGCTAGGACGGTGTAAGAGATGAACGTGACGTTATAAATAATGGCCAAGGGAAATATTTTAACATTGTATTAGGGATGACTGGAACACAATGAGGGTCAAATGGCAGAGCTAGGTACCGAGTGAGTTCATTTTCTTTTTCATACGAATATTCTAAATAGGTATAGAGTTTTGTAAAATCTGTTTACTTATGCTGGACAAACTGTTTAAATATATACTCCTTATTCCAGCCCGCTTTGTTGTGATATTAAAATCAGAAAACGCTGGACACACGCAAATGGCCGAAACATCTATGGTTGAACGAGAAATAAACATATCTACTTGCAAAAGTTGTTGTTCTGTTTGCAGTGCGGTAACCGGTACTTATAGCAAAAAGTTTGTCAAGCTATGGTTACAACGGATTTCCAAAGCCAAAGATGTTCTGCTAATACAGATTTTCTGAAGCATTGATCAGAGAAACTATTGACACGAAGATCTGCGTATTGTTTTCTGCAGTTCCAACAGCAGTGTGACATTTGAAGAGAAAGACTTGTCTTCAGCAAAAATTTAAACATTTGGGGCTTCGGGAAAAAACTAAAAATTTCATTGTGAAACATTAGCGCCATTGCCTCTCGAATGCAGCAAAATTTTCCTGAATTAACAGGGTTGCTGATGTCTCTCTAGCTGATGGCTCAGATGTGTAAATTACTGTCTAACATGGTTATAGAGGAATTGTCGCGGGTTAACATTTAACCCAAATGAAATCAGTGCGAAATCATTTGCAACATCATTCTGATCTACTCTCGAAACGAGTAATACAGATTCCTTTGGACTACCAGCTTCGATTCGACCGTCCAACAACACGTTGGAATGACCATGTTGCCAAATTGCTTGGTAAGCGACGAGGCAAAAAGCAGAGAATGGAGAAGACTGGACTGGAGTCTACGTTTGTCCATGGCATATATACTATAAGAACAAATTGAACAGCAAATTAGATGATTACGCAACCGTTGGCTGCTTTGGAATGCTGTTGAACATCAACCGAACAGTGCACAGATCCGTTACAGTAATTCTTATCATTATAGATCGAGAAACTGCCATTCCATTATTAATGACTATCGTATTCTAAACAACTATAAATAAGCCCATCAATCAGAGCAGAGATTTTCCATTCAGTGGTGTCTTATCGACCAATAACCATAAAACGCTTTAAGAAGTTTTGAGAGGGCGTCTGCAGAAATTTCTTTTGATTTTGTATCTCAGTCATATATATGGGGTTAAGAACGCTTCTCGGGTTATGTAGCCGTTGGCAAAACACTTTTTCCAACATGCATGATTCATTTCATATAAATCGATCGCTTATGGAAATCTGCTTGTAAAGCTTATTAGTATTATGCCAAAAGCTGCTTATTGGCAACGAAAATACAGTTTCATTTTGAGTATGAGCTTCAGCGCTTAGAAATGCCGATGAAGTTCGATTATTAACAATAAAATGATAATCTGTGCTCTTATATCCAATTTTAGCATAGCGAAAAAGTTGATAGCACGTCTATCTTGAACGTTTGCTCACCGATTTGTATTTTTCGACATGTTAATCATTTAGATTACAAATTTCACTTCATTAAATGCATCAACCAACCATTCTCATTCCAGGGAATGGTGCCGGTTCAGGAGGCATCCTTGGACCAGGTCTGACCAGTACATGTGATCGATGTGCAATATACGGACCAGCTTGTTTTGGATAGCCATATCCGTAATCAACATAATCCGTTCCATATCGATGGTTATGCCCATAACGTCCATATTCCCTTGAAATGTAGTGAGCGTCCTCTGGTTCATATGCCTCGTAATCGTAGTATTCCGGTCTTCTAGCTGAAAGAAGGCAAAAGACGTTTCATCAACCAGGTACAAAAGTCGACATACCGGCAATGTTATGCTCTGCCGCTCTGCCTTGTGGCCTAGTATTTCCTAGGATTCCGCCAGTTAAAGCTGAGATCGGATTGGTTTCTGTCTGGCCACCGGGTAGCAGAACATTGTGTATGATTCCTTTCACTGAAAACAAAATAGGATTTTCGATCAGCTCAGACAGTTTATGGATTAGCTAACATAATGAAATTCCGCAGAATCTCTCGTTACGAAACTGCTCACAAGGTAACCGTTTATTTTAAGTACGCGACAATTATTCACAGTCATAAAATAATTGAGTAAGATTCATTACAGTCAGAGTTGCATCATCAATCATCCGTAACGAAGTTCATCAACTTATTCCTGGACGAGAATTGATCAATCGGTAGAGTGTGCAGTCATACTACTGAGATTCTGAGGTTTAGCCCCGGTCGAGTCACCCTCCTTTCTTCCATACGAGGTTAATAAATTAATATTGCTCTATGAGAAGGAATCATCAGGCCACACACCGAGCTTTTCATGAAGTTGCAGATTCTACCTTAAAAATGAGTCACTCTTGGCTGATGGCATAATGAGCTTCATGAAATGAAAGGCCCCTAAAATTGGCCCGTCGTGTATATGTAAAGGAGGTCGATATTCGAACGGTTACAAACTTTCGTTTTTCGATCAAATTAGCATTCTCCTGTTGTCATTGCGAATACTCTGAAGAGAGTGGTACATTTTCTAAAGAGAGTATCTTCGAGATTCATTTAAGTAGGTTTTAAATGTAACCAAAGAAGTGTTTCTAAAAATAAATAAGTTTGTGTCTATCACAAATTGAATATGGCAAATTGCAATTAAACAATCTGCGGAATCAATTCGAAAGCTTCCAAACTATACTCGTATGTATGGTTGTTGGTTTTTTGTTGAAATTCCCTTTCATAAAACGAGAGGGTTAGAAAAAGGTATTTGAAAATCACAAAATAAAGATGTGAATAAGACAGCTTCCAAAAAAGAGGTAGTACTTCGTACAGATCTTAAATACATCTACTTTAGGCAGAAAATAATTTTGCATGGACAACTTCCGGATAACCTTCAAATTTGTGAAAAGTGACATTACTGTTGGAAAAACGAAACCTTGGTGAAAACGCTGAAGGCCTTCCAGCAGAACTGTGTTGCCTGAGTGACACGTGTATGAAAAGTTGCGAATAGTTTTGGCGGTAACGTGCCATAATTCTTGATTCCGTTTGAAAGAAAGAAATCAAACCGCATTGGTCAGCTGTCTTTCATGCACTGTGTCTGAGAAAGTGCTGGGAATCGGAAGAACAAAGGAACCGGATGAATAATGAGGCGTTCATTCAGGTTCCAGAAATTCCATACTTCAAAAACTGGTGTGTGTGTGTGTGTGTGTGTGTGTGTGTGATGTGTGTGT